TCTCTGGTGCCCCTGGCAGGTCTCTGGTGCCCCTGGCAGGTCTGTGGTGCCCCCTGGCAGACCTGTGGTGCTCTTGCTAGGCCGATGGTGCTCCTGCAGGCCTGTGGTGCCCCTAACAAGCCTTTGGTACCCCTGACAGGCCCGTGGTACCGCTCGGCCGGCCGAGTCGCCGGCCCGCCCCTCGTCACGGCCCCGCACGACCAGTCCGCTCATGATATCCCAACATCGCAACACTAGGTCTGTGGTGCCCCTGTCAGGCCTGTGGTGCCCCTGATAGGTCGGTGGTGCCCCCGGGCCCCAAGGGAGGTCATAAGTGACCCATATGACCCCCCTCCCTTGGATCCGCCACTGGGATCTGATCACAACCCCCAGAAATAAGTAATCGTATAATCATCAGTTGCTTCCCTTGTATTCAACATACGAGAAAATTGACAACACTATTGCCGGCTGGGTCATTTATGACCCAATGATATTTATCGAGGAAAAAAAGTTATCCGATGGCGACAAGAAGGGCAAAAATATACATCATACCTTTTTCAGACAAATTTAAATGCCAGGTGGACGATCATTCAACAGATAGTAAGGTGCAAACATAATATAATATTGCTTTTTGGGGCGGCGCGCCATTGCTAGTGACCGGCGACTGTGCAGTCCCGTCGTCTTTGGCTCCAGAAACTTCAGTGGACGAGCTCACACAAGTTTTATGCGGCTCCGACGCTCGCCACTGAACTCACAAATCCAACAAAACATACGCACAAGTTCCTCAAAGTGCCACTTGCCTCCATTGAGAAAAATCATTAAGGTTTTGCTTTTGGGTCATATATGACCCAAGCGGCATTAATGGGTTAACGTTTTCAAATTGCACACCGAAAGCTTTGTGGGTCCAACAATACATACAGTTGACTGTTTACATAATTGCTATATTGACTCGATCTCGGAGCACCAAAAGCTTGAACTTACGCTCGACGCCGCATTGCCCGCTGCACGGCGCATCCAGCGCCCCTGAGCTGGTTCATCGGCACACCGCTGCACCGTGTTTTAACTCTGGCCAAAAACTGGCCAGGACGCGAAATATCGACTATTTTTAAACGTTTTCGTTTGGCCACTATCGTGTTCAAAAATGATCAGAGCATCTTTAACGACGAAAACTTGTATTCTCTTTACTTTTGAAAACGTTGAAAATGTACAACAAAGTCAGACAATTCTCGAAAGCTAAACTTCGGCTAACAAACGCAGAAACAGTCGCCTTGCTTCACGTCAACATCTTCGAGCTTTGGATTGACAAAACTATATAATTTGAGTACCAAACGACAGCGCGAGCTTTTGGCTTTGTAATGAGTCAACATTTATATAATTATGATGCATATTAGTGTTACATTTATTGATTTCCGTCAGTCCTTACATTGGCACACTTTTTTTGAAATATGTCAATGTTCTAATAGAGCTACAAAAAATTGTACGCTAGTGTACGGTCTCGGACTACCACCACACTGTGGGTCAAGGAGTTGTCTATATGCCCTCAAAATTTCAGCTGCGCCTGAGTGCGCCGGTGTTGGGGGTGAACACTTTTTTGAACGAGTCACGTCTGCTCCTGCTGAGCCATGGGACGGTCGCTAGCGTGCGTCAAGGGAAAATGCTAGTACTCCTCGTTCATTCTCTCGTCTGTTGTGACGAGTTGGTGTCCCATAGAAGGTCGCCGACCTGTGTGCGACCTGCCGTACCCTGGGGCGTAATCAGCTGACGGCACGACCCCCTATACGACAAGTGCCAGCTGCATTTTCATGTGTCGCGAGAAGAAAACAAAGGGTCTCCGGAACCGGAGACCGGACAATGTCGATGAATGACAGTTGCTCATTCAAAAACTGCTAGCATTCCTATGAAATATACATTTCATAAATATCAACAGCGTTATCGGTGGAATTGATGAAGTATAGTACCTATTGGTCTATAACAAGAACCTTCCACCCCATGGCTATTGCAGTAAATTCATAGATGGGCTCTGGAGCTGTATGGTCGCTACACATGCCTCCTTGATAGTTTATAAACATATTTAGTACCTGATGAAGCGCAATTAAATATTCATTGTGCCCAGTTTTAGATGGGACTTTGAGCTGAAAGGTGACTGTATGAGACCTGACACAGGCCGCTGATCACGATGATCGGCTTTTGGTCGTCCATTACCTGTTTGCGTTCGGCAGGGTTACCATCGGCCGCTTCAGTCAGTATTACTACGTTCGATGTAGGTGGTATGATACCATTAGTGCTGTCTACCTTTATGAAAAAGCATCAGTTTGCTGCAGTAAGCGTCAATTAGTATTACAATGAAGTGCTTTTACATGCACGTTGCATGTTACATAACGCACCATACAATAGGAATTGGTAAGAAGTTTTGGGATACATTCTACCATTTCACGTCATGCGATGGCGGATCCAGTGAAGGGTATAGTGGGTATTTGCCCTCCCCATAGCTGAAAAGTGTGGGCAAGACTATCCTTTTGCCGCTCCCAAAGCTTTTGGTGATGAGAAATATAATACAGCGTCGATGCCTATCTGGACGAAAAGCAGGTCTTTTTGTCACAATCATTTTGAGGGATGGAGCTGACCGCTCGCTGCTCATTGTTTAGGTCAGTATGCTGATAACAGATGGAACTCCCTGAACTGCACACATGCAGATTGCAGACGTAGTGAAGCGTTGTAAAATCACCGGCGCGGCGGTGGGTCGAGGTCACCGAATGGGTCGGAAACTTTTGCCCTCTCCAAACGGATTAGCTGGATCCGCCCCTGACGTCATGTGACGTAAAACATACAGGACTCTGGACTTACTAAAGTGGAGACAGAGTTAACATCAAGTTGATATCAAAACATACGTTTGAAAATGTTTTTGAAATAAATATAAAGATTGTAGGTCCTATATGAATAAGTCCTATATAAGGGCATTCAAGGTCATCTGAGGTCATCAACGCTAATTAACAAGCTCATGTCCTCAAACTTGGCTTGCCTCGTCGATGAGCCTTGCTCAGACTTACGATTACTTTTACAGATACGATTACAAATTTACAGATACCTAAATGCTCGTGCATTCATAGCTAGAATATGACACAATATTTGTATATGTTTCGTGACACTTGTGACGTCATAAACAAGTACATAAGCATCTGGTCCGACACATTTTGCACTTTCAATGATCGGTAGTCTCCAACGTTTCGTTTGAGCCCAAAAACACGTCTGTATCTCATATAGTTTCTTAGTTACGATCCCTGGCCAGTTTTGATCCAGAGTTAAAACATAGTGCGCTGGCCGGTGGCAGCGTGTGTAGGGCTGTAGGCTGAGCCAGCGGTACCGCCGACAGAGGCGGCAGCGATAGCAATGACAGCGGTGCCAGCTGCCGTCCAGTGGTCAGCGGCGGTGGCAGCGGTAGCAGCGGCGGTGGTGGGGCGGGACGTGCGGTAGCGGCGGCGACTGCGTTGAAGACGACACCGCTGACGACAGTGCTGGTGGCGGGGAAACCTCCTCCTGGCGTGATCGGAGGAACCGTTTTTCCCTGCTGAACAGTGACCACCGGCCGGCCATTTCTCCCGGTGGCGGCGGGTGTTGTAACGCGTGCACGCGCCGCCGCCGCCGCCGCCGCAGCCGAGGACAGCAGGCACAGTGACCGGGAACAGGGACGTTCGCGCACTGCCGCCGCCGCAGAGCCGAGTAGGGGAAGCGGGGGGAACACCGCCACTGTGGGAAACTCCGCCACCCCATCTGGCGGCGAAAGTATGAAATGTGAAGTGTAAAAATCCGTTATTTCCTATTAACCGCACGAAGGTAAGCGTCTTCTGATTTGTGTTCCGGTGATTCAGTGTAATCGAAGCTTAATGTGGGCATTTAAAGAAAAATGTACATTCTCTTATAAAAATTCGATGAGTTGGGAGCACTTTTGAATGTCTTTAAGAAGAGACTCATTTTGATTTACTTGATTACATCGAAAAATAATTGATCGGCTTTGTCCAGTAAGATAAGTTTGCTTGAACCGTGTAGTACATTCTTGCCGCTGGCGATTTTTGCTTGTGATCACTTACTGGGGAACACCGCCACCCCGTGGCGGTGTTACCCCGATTGAGGTTGCGGTGTTTCCTGTTCGTAGCGTGATAAGTGATGAAACTCCCAAAGAGACGCTTTTTTATGTTCGTAGATGTTCCTAAGTCGGGAATAAGCAGCTTATTAGATTTTTTACTTTATATTTTTCATGCATCCCGACCAAGCATTTGCCAGCTGTATAAAACTGGCAAACAGCTGATGAACCTATACCTATTTAGGTGTCCATTACCGATTATTTGCGAAAATTACCACTTACCGACTGGAAACTCATCGCACGTGGAAACGCACCGACTGGAAACTCGCACACGTTTTACACATTACACATTTCACGCATTTTACACAATTTAAGCTTTCATGAACTTGACATATTTAATGCCCACAGGCCGTCTATGTATATCTGACCTGTAGGTACATATCAGACCCAGTCCCGTCTATATCTAACCCAGTCCCGTACATCATATCTGACCTAACCCCATCTACATATCTGACCCAGCGAGCGGGTCTCCTTTGAGACCCAGTTCCCGGGTGTGCTGATGGGCTGGTCCCGGGTGTGCTGTTAGACTGGTTCCCGGGTGTGCTGTTGGTCTGGTTTCCGGGTGTGCTGTTGGACTGGTCCCGGGTGTGCTGTTGGACTGGCTCCGGGTGTGCTGTTGGACTGGTTCACGGGTGTGCTGTTGGACTGGTTCACGGGTGTGCTGTTGGACTGGTTCCCGGGTGTGCTGTTGGGCTGGTTCCCGGGTGTGCTGTTGGACTGGTCCCTGGGTGTGCTGTTGGGCGGGCTGGTTCCCAGGTGTGATGTTGGACTGGTCCACGGGTATGCTGTTGGGCCGGGTGGTCCACTGGGCTGCTCCTATGACCACGCTGGCGGCAGTGTGGCTACTGACGACCACCCCCTGACCTGTCCGCCTGTCCGCCAGGGCGGAGGTCACGGTGGAGGTCACGGAGGTCACGGCGGAGGTCACAGCTACGGCAGAGGTCGCGGCAAGGGCGGCAAGTTCAACATCGGCTCGCTATTCTCCAAGAAAGGCCGTCTGTTCAGCGGAATCAAGCACAAGTTCAGCGGCATCACGCACAAGTTCAGCGGCCTCAAGCAGAAGCTGGGCGGCCTCGTAGGCGCCGTGAAGGCGCCGCTGGTGCTAATCAAGGGAAAGCTGCTGCGCAAAGGAGGTGAGCGGCCGCCGCGTCCCGGGGGGTGGCACACAGGTGTACTGGGCACACAGGGTACACACCGCACACACCGCACACACCGCACACACCGCACATACCGCACACACCGCACACACTACAGGCGGCACACAGAGCACACACGGAACACACACAACTACAGGCGGCACACACCGCACACACGACACACACGGCACACAGGGTACACACCGCACACACTGCATACACCACGCACACCGCACACACTACAGGCGGCACACAGAGCACACACGGCACACACGGCACACACGGCACACACCACACACACCTCACACACTACAGGCGGCACACAGAGCACACACGGCACACACTACAGGTGGCACACAGAGCACACACGGCACACACGGCACACAGGGTACTCACGGCGCACACCGCACACACGGCACACAGGGAACACACAACTACAGACGGCACACCGCACACACCGCAAACACCGCACACACCGCACACACCGCACGGCGCACACACTACAGGCGGCACACACCACACACACCGCACACACTACAGGCGGCACACACGGCACACACCACACACACCGCACACACTACAGGCGGCACACAGAGCACACACGGCACACACGGCACACAGAGCACACACGGAACACACACAACTACAGATGGCACACAGAGCACACACGGCACACACGGCACACAGGGTACACAACTACAGACGACACACCGCACACACCGCACACACCGCACACACCGCACGGCGCACACACTACAGGCGGCACACAGAGCACACACGGCACACACGGCACACACGGCACACAGAACTACAGACGGCACACACCGCACACACTGCACCACACACAACTACAGACGGCACACATAACTACAGACGGCACACATAACTACAGACGGCACACACCGCACACAGCGCACACATAACTACAAGCGGCACACACGGCGCACACCGCACACACAACTTCATGCGGCACACGCGGCACGAGCCGGTAAAGCAGTGAGCACTAATGCTCCGAACGTTTTGCTGACCTGATCTGGACTGTTTAGATCCCAGGTCGTCTGAAAACCAGCAAGGGAATGCTCCTCTAATAGAACCCATGTTAAGTGTTCTTTACTGCTCCAGACCATCTACCAACCACCAAGGGAAGGTCACTGTAATAGGACCCATGCCCAATGTGAAATGTTCTTTATCACTTTTTACCGTCTGCTTACCACTGGGGGACAAGTCCTGTAATAGAGCTCACGTGAAGTGCCCCTAACGTTTCCCAGGTCGCCTGCTTACTACCAAGGGACGGTTCCTCACCAGTTTGGCCAACAAGCTGACCAGCAAGTTCAACAAGGGCGGAGGCCACGGCGGGTACAGTGGAGGCCACAGCGGGTACAGTGGAGGCCACAGCGGCGGATACGGCGGAGCCGGTGAGCCCGAGCGTGACATTACGCTTTATTGACTCTTATGTTATTGCATGCAAACTTAACATCACATGCCTACACGTTAAATTTCTGTTACAATAATATGCTTGGAAGCAAGGGTAATATTTTTGTGTTTGAATTATTATTGTCTTAACTCGCGCCCTGGGCCCGATTTCACCAAGTGAATATATTCCATTACGGCGGTGTACATATTCACTTTTGGCATATTATGACATATTCAGTTTCACCAAACTCCGTACAGGGATACTTATTCAAGACAAAGACAAAGTATGACTGCATAAGTCCGTCGTTTTTTGGCATACTATTACATTTGAGGTACCTCTGGTAAGCCGATCTGCTTTTTCAACAGCTGTTTGCCGAGTTTGCTGGCATTGAAAGTATGCTACTTTTTGTGGCATACTTTGAGAAACAGCTTGGCATACATCAATTTTTTGTATGATAATGTTACAAATTTAATGACTTCGTCGATGTAACGTATGATAAAAAAAACATGCCACAGGCTACGCAAAAAGGTTTTGATGTCATAATGGTTATTTCTCGCTGGATATATAGGGTATCGTGTGTCAGGGCTTATATTGAAATTAAACCCCAGAACAGCTATTTTTATAAGGCTTATCTCATCGTGGCATCACTGCGATTAAAATCACCCCATCATGCAGAAACACAACAGGGAATTCCTTTTTTCATTCGCATTCCCGATTACATTGAGTTTTCCACTTAAAAAAAAAAACGACAGTTCACATTGTATTTTGATAACACAAAAGGCCAAAAGCGTTTCAAATCTTTCTCACCGTGATTATTACACCGTGCTCTTTATGCAGCGTTTTACCGAAGAGGAAGTAAATAACTGGCGAGGGCGAGAGGAAGGACTGAAGTCCAGTCCAGCAACGCCTTGATTGACATGCCCAGCATGTTGCATCACAGGTCACAACGCATTCGTTTACATTCGTTTTCATCGCCCACTTTTGCTATTTCTTTGCAGTACCCATATGCTGTCCAATGTCCATATTTTTTTTGTGTTGTGGCCAAATGATTCAATTTTAAATTTAAATTCAGGTACAATTTTAAAAAAGGGAGATACGATCGAATCAAAGACAGTCTGGAAAATGTTAACTGGAATGCATATGGAGAGATGGACATGGAAGCCATGTGGAGTGGTTTTTACAATGTCTTGATGAAAGCTATTCATGAACATGTACCCATTTGGAAGAGACACAATGGCAATCACAAGCTAGCACCCTGGTGGACAAAGAAACTGTTAAAAGAGGTCAAACTCAAACATGCTCTTTGGAAGGCCTACCAGCAGTCCAGAACAGAGGAGACCTATCACATCTATGCCATGCAAAGAAACAAGACTGCGCAAAGCATCAAGAATGCCAGACAGCAGTATGAAAATAAGTTGGCAGTACTTGGCAAGAAAGAACCGAAACGAATCCATACATACATTCGAAATCAACTCAAGGTGAAACCAGAAGTAAAAGGTTTAGAGACTGATGAAGGAAAAATAACCGAAGATGACCAACAGGCAGCTGATACCCTGAACAAGTTCTTCCAATCAGTGTTTACAACCGAAGGTACAGGACCGTTACCCGAGTTTCAGGACCGTGTTGGTGATGAACTTTCATTAACCCGCGCCCGGCTGGGGGTCCTGGATTTCCACGCCCTGCTGGGGGGGGTGTTTGAACACCCCCCCCCCTTGTAACTCGGCTCCTGGGCCACGTAGCGATACGCGGAAGGCGGCGTTCGAAAGAGCGTCAAAAATAATGACGAAATCACTTCGGTCAATTTTTTGGTCAGGTCAAAGGTCAGGTCACCAGAGGTCATTGAAGGCAAAATTTCGCCGATTTCCAGGTCGAATATCGAAAATTTCCAAGAAGCCAACGCACAACTCGGGAACCAATAGAGCTACAGCGCCGCGGAAAAGCGCATTCGATAGCCCTATTAACGCCCTTTCTGAGTAATTCTCTTAGATTTGACCTAACGTCAACGGTTTTGCCTGCAGGGGGCAAAAACTGCAAAAATAGCCGATTTTTTCGGAAACAGTTTTTCGGCAATAACTTTTGACCCAAGCCTTGTACGAGCTTACTTTTACCGGCATCGTGTTCCTCTCGTCAAGACGCATCGAATGAACTATAACTTGACCTTGAAAGGTCAACTTGAAAATTTGACCTCAGGTCAAGGTCATGACCTGACCGGAAGGGGTCATGTTGCATATCAGTCGATCCGTATCGTCGAGCTGAACACATCTAAGGCGTTTTCATCGCTCTAGCATGCCTCTATCAAAAGTTATTTGCGAAAAACTGTTAGATACCATTCGTGACCTAAGATGACCTCAGGGCATAAACAAGGGTCACGGACACCATTTTCATGTTCAGTGTGTCTAAACCACTTGTAATTCAGTGTTTGGGAGTGTTTATAGTGTCTTCCGTCCAAAAGAGGCGCATTTCAATTTTCTCCCATTGACTTATAATGGGGAGGTCGCAAAATTGACCTGACCTTAGGTCACCGATATCAAAATTCCGAGATATACATTTCATAGATACTGTTACCCTTATCAATCGCTGAAAGTTTCAAAGCGATCGGTCACTCGGTGTAGCTATGACAGACATTGAAACTTTTTATGAGGTGAGGTCACTTCAAGTGACCTGGTGACCTGACCTTGAATGACCTTGGTCTGAAATTTTCACAACATGTGTAGAATTGATGTATGATAAGGTGTACCAAAAACGGCGGCGCGGAGCGCCGCCGTTTTTGAGATATTCGCAAAAAACCACAAGGGGGGGTGTTCAAACACCCCCCCCCCCCCAGCAGGGCGCGGGTTAACAGGCATCCAACTGACAGAAATTGAGGTGCACAACCAACTGCTAAATCTCCAAGAAGGGAAGGCAGCAGGTCCAGATGGCATACCGACAATCATCTTGAAAAGATGTGTGGACCAACTTACCAAACCAGTCACCATGCTGTTTAACCCGCGAGTTGCTGGGGGGGGGGCGTTAAACGCCCCCACTTTTTTCGCCGGGCCATAGCATAAAAACGGCGCGCCGCAGGCGCGCCAAATTTTGGGTACCTGTAGGGAATTGATTGAAGTTTATTGTGACAAAGTTTCAAAAAAATCGGTCGGAAAATTTTTGAGATATCGAAGTTTTAGTGACGTCATGATTTCTGAGTTTTCGACCAAAAACGGCATATGTTCAAAAAATCATATAAAATCACAGAATAGACATACAGACATGCCGTAAACGCCATTAGACTGCCAATACCATGGTCAATCAAATGGCTATCTTCGATTATTGATTGTCGTTCCGCATTTTCCATAATCTTGAACTGAATCTTGGCAATTTTTCGTGACTACCTCACGACCATGATACATGAAGTTCTTAAATTTAACTTTTTGAGCCAAACACGTACACATATGATAAAATGAATGTCACCATCGTGTTCTACGCCCCAAATTACCTATAAAACATGTGTCACAGGCTGCGAATATCAGTTTTGATTTTCGGGGATATGTGCCTACCCGGTTGACCTGACCTTGACCCTGACCTATGCTCGACTGACCCCTACATGGAGCTGACACTCTTGTAGGCCTTATAAGATGGATTGTGCACCGTTTTGACAGAGGTTATGGCGAGAGGCGCCCATTGCGAAGTCCTGAAGTCCATGCTACTGAAAGCCCGATTTCAGGTGTTTGACCTGACCTTGACCCGACCTGTGACCTCAAAATTCAACTTTAAAGTACTCATCTGAAGCGTCTCGTCGCGCCCTTTCGTTTGCCGCCTCGTGCGTTTCGCTGCGCCTATTGGTTCTCGAGTTATCGGCTGGGGGCGTTTAACGCCCCCCCCCCAGCAAACGGTGGGTGGCGAAATACCCCAGCAACTGCCGGGTTAACAGATCCCTACAGTTTGGTATACTCCCATTAATGTGGAAACGAGCAAGGATCACTGCCATATTCAAAAAGGGTAGCAAGAAGAAGCCGCAGAACTATCGGCCAGTAAGCCTGACCTGTCAACTATGTAAAGTTCTTGAAAGACTGATCCTGAAAGAAGTATGCTCACACTTGAAAAGAAACAATCTGTTGAGTACACATCAACACGGCTTCACAAAAGGTAGATCATGTCAAACGAACCTATTAGAGTCACTTGAGGATTGGACAAGGTGGCTTGATGAAGGCCAAAATGTTGACATCATCTATCTCGACTACCAAAAGGCATTCGACAAAGTTCCCCACAAGCGACTCATCAAGAAACTGGAGGCTTACGGCATAAAAGGCAATATACTTAAATGGATCCAGAGCTTTCTAACGGACAGATCCCAACAGGTGACAGTCGGTCAGAGTACATCCAGTATCATCAATGTTACAAGCGGAGTACCACAGGGGTCGGTCTTGGGACCGTTGTTATTCATTCTATACGTCAATGACCTACCTGAACTCATCCAAAGCGAATGTAAACTGTTTGCTGACGACACCAAGTTATTTCGTGGGATTTCATCTGTCAATGACTGTGAGGTTCTGCAATCAGACCTAGAAAAGCTTATGGACTGGTCTTCAAAATGGTTACTTAAATTCAATACCGACAAATGCAAAATCATGCACTGTGGTCATGCTGATGCCACTTTTGAATATGAAATGACTGATGATAAGGGGACTAGCATGATACTAAAGAAGACTGATCTTGAACGTGATCTTGGTATCATCATTTCAAAGGACCTGAAGGCCACTGCTCACTGTGACGCAGCAGCTAAGAAAGCCATGGTAGCGCTGAGACTACTCAAGATGACTTTCAGTCGTCTCACCACTGAAAACTTCAAGGCTCTCTACACTACTTACGTTCGACCACACATGGACTACTGTTTGCCAACAGTGGGACCCCATATGGCCCAGGATATACTGAAGTTGGAGAAGATTCAGAGGAGAGCAACCAAACTCGTTCGAGAAATCAGAAATCTTTCTTATGAGGACAGGCTAAGGAAGCTGGACCTGATGA